TATTTAGGTTAATCTTTCTATCTACCCAATGGGACTCAGTTCTCAGTCTAGAAGATACCATCAGAGATGCTTAGTTTTGCCGTTCTTAAACTGTGGATTTGTGTTTCCAGAGATAACATGCTTGTTAACAGCAAAAATGTTTTTAAATAAATTAAATTATATATAGAGGTGAGAAATAACAGACCTCAACCATGTTGTCCCTCTGAAATTTGTGTACACAGAGTCAGTCTCTTACCTCTCTCAAAAAGTTCAATGACTAGAAGATTGTTGGGGGCGCAATAGATCTAGACAAGGAGAAGTCTGGCGATAAATGTGAGAAAGGAGGGACAGGCAGTAGAAACAAAAGTGAAACTGTTTGAGCAGCATATTCCAGAAGTCTTGAGGTCTTTCTGAGTGTAGCCTTCATTGATTTGAAATCTACCATACCATTCTCTTACTAGAAGGGAAAACCTATAATGGCAGGCCGTAAAAGAGACCCAGTTTGGGACTATTTTAATGAAGTTCCTCTACCTGTGGGTAAGACAGGTATGCTTGCAAAATGCAAACAGTGCAACAAAGAAATGCACGGCCTGGTTGCCCGAATGAGACAACATCATGAGAAGTGTTCCTTCTCAGAAGGAAGCTGCATTGAAGATGATGAATGGAACATGTCTGAACACGCAGGATCTTCAGGTTGGTAAACTTTCTTATTTCATACTTCTTTCTTAAGGACTGCCTGTCTTCCTTCTGGACTATTCTTGAATTCTCATGTTTGAGCAAAAAATACAGTTGTTACTCTATGGTACAGTAACTCCTCTCTTAACATTGTAGTTATGTTCCTGAAAAATGCTACTTTAAGGCAAACGATGTTAAGCTAATCCAATTTCCCCATAAGAATTAATGTAAGTAGTGGGGGTTAGGTTCCAGGGAAATTTTTTTTGCCAGACTAAAGACTATACTTCTATACACACACATACATAGTATATGTTTTAACAATTTAATACTGTACACAGCAATGATGATTGTGAAGCTTGGTTAAGGTGATGATGTCAGAGGGGGGGGGTATTTCCCAGGGAATGCCTTGCTGCTAAATGATGAACTAGCACTTGGCTGAGCCCTCAAGGGTTAATACGTTGTTAATGTAGCCTCACACTCTACAAGGCAGCACGAATGGAGGGAGGGGAGACAGCAAGGCAGACAGAGACACACACCCTGTGTGTGTGTGTGTGAGAGAGAGAGAGAGAGACGCGCATTGCCCCTTTAAGTACACTAACCCCACTCTAAGTACAGTGCCTTTTTAAGTAGATCAGCAAGTTGAGACAGCAGCTGCTGCCAGCAAGCTCCCTCCTTCCTGAGCCCTGTCAGTGTCCACCCCCCGTCCCCACGCTCTGTGGAGATGGCCCGATGGGGTAAAGGAGCCTAGGGGAGAGGGATACCCTGACATTAGTCGTCCGTCCCCCCCCCCCCCCCGGCACAGCAAACAGGAGGCTCCCAGGGCAGGAGCAGCACATGGCAGTGGGGGGAGGGACAGCTGAACTGCCCAGCAATTGTTAGCCTGCTGGGTGGCTGCCGCACAGGGAACTTAGGGGAGTGGGGAGCTGATGTGGGGCTGCCGGTCTACCTGCTGGTTCCAGGTCCCACCAGCTCGCTCCCACGGGCTGCTCTTCCTGCAAGCAGTGGACAAAGCAGGTGGCTGCCAAATGACGTTAGAAGGGAGCATTGCACAACTTTAAACAAGCATGTTCCCTAATTGATCAGCAACGTAACAACGTTAACCGGGATGACTTTAAGTGAGGCGTTACTGTACTATCATTTTAGATGCAGTTGTGATAAAAAATAAATAGCTGAAATAGGCAGATCTTCCTTTTACAATTTCACCTTTAAAGTAGTACTGAGTGTCAGTGAATGCAATGAGTAATACTAAATGAGCAGTGTGGTAATAATTAAATAACTGCATTGATTTATTTTGTTTAGGAGAATCCATCCTCAACATACAGGATTCTAAAGACTATCCACCTTCAAGATCACCATCCTTTTCTATAGTTTCAGAGTTATCTGCCAATGATAATGTTTCAGTCACATCATGTTTGTCACATAGCCACAGTATACCACCTGTAGCAAAAAGAAAAAAAAATCTCCATCATCCAGAAACAGTCAGAGATAAGTTTGTGATAAGAACCAGCAGATTACAAAAATAGGTAATTGATGAAAAAATTGCCTGGTTTGTTTATGCAACAAACTCTCCTTTCCGTATGATTGAGAACCCACACTTCATTAACATGGTTCAGTCATTAAGACCAGGATCTGTCCACCCAACAGAGCAGATGTCGCAGGCAAATTGCTGGATAAAGTGTATGAAAGAGAAATTGAGCAGTGTGCAAAATGTCTAGAGGGTGAAATTGTTAACCTGAGTATTGATGGGTGGAGCAATGTCCACAATGATCCTGTTGTATGTGCTTGTGTGACAACAGAAGAAGGGAATGTCTTCCTCACAGAAACAATTGATACACCAGGAAATGCTCACACAGCAGAATACTTACAAGAAGTAGCAGTAAAAGCTATAACAAACTGTGAAAAAAAATTCAAATGTCTAGTACGCAGCTTGGTCACAGACAATGCTGCAAATGTATCCAAGATGAGAAGAAATTTAGAAGAGAGTGAAGAGAGTCCCAAGCTAATAACATGCGGTTGCAGTGCTCATTTGATGCACCTCCTAGCCAAGGACTTCAATGTTCCAGAAATAAAGGCTGATGTTGTTGAAATTGCAAAATACTTCCCTTAACAACCACTTTGCAGCAGCTGCTCTGAAAAAAGTGGGAGGAACCAAACGAACTCTCGCACAAGAGGTGTGCTGGAACTCCGTAGTGGACTGTTTTGAGCACTAGATCAAGAGCTGGCCTAATTTGATGACAGTTTGTGAACAAAATCATGAAAAAATAGATGGCCCCATCACAGCCAAAGTGCTCACCATTGGGCTTAAGAGACACGCTAAACGCAGGCTGAGGACCCTGAAGCCTATTGCTGTCACCTTGGAACACAATGCAGGGAAATCGCTATTTTATGGCTGACGCTGTTGAAATTTGGAAGGAACTGAGTGAGATTTTAAAAAGAGAAATATGCAATGACCGAGTTAAATTACAAGCATTAAAAAAACAAATGGACAAGCACTATCTCCAGCTTATTTTCTTGCAGATATTCTCAGTACTCGGTACCAGGGTCAAACCTTAACTGCTGAAGAAGAGGAGTTCGCTGTGACGTGGACATCCAGCAATCAGCCCTCCTTAATGCCAACTGTAATAAACTTCAGAGCTCAGGGTGAACCATTCAAGAAATATATGTTTGCTGATGATGTTTTAAAGAAAGTCACACCAGTGAACTGGTGGACGTCACTTAAGCACTTGGATTCAGAGACTGTTGAAGTGATTATCTCACTTTTAACAGCAGTAGTGTCTTCTGCCCTTGTAGAAAGAATATTTTCTTCCTTTGGACTAATTCATTCCAAATTGAGAAATCGTTTGGGTCCTGACAAAACAGGAAAGCTGGTTTTTCTTTTCCAGATTATGAACAAACAGGAGAATGAAGGTGAAGACGACTGAGTTGGCTGCAGAAGCCAATATTTTAAGTTTCTCATGTTGACCTGGCTGACATCGTCGAGTTAATTTTTGTGTTTTTATATTTCATTTAACTATTTTAGTTAAAAACAGTTTTAACAAAAACAAACCTGATTTTAAAAAACTTGAATGTTTAGCTAAATTCAAAAATTCATATGCTTGTTTTGTTAAAATATTATATGTTTGCTGTTGAAGAAAAATATCCAGAATACATGATGTTGTTGGTTTTAGTTCAATAAAACAATTGAAATGTCTGTCTGGTGATGTTCTCCTCCTAATACAGCATGGCAAGAAGATCCTCCGAATATTAATGATTAACCTGTTGAACTGGAGATAGTTCACCTCCCAATGACTTCATAATTATCTGTTTCACTTACCTTTGGTAAATGAAATCACCAAACAATCATAGATTTTCTGAATAGCTGTAAAACTAATCTGAAAAGTTTTCAAAATAAATCACTTTAAAAATGTATAGTGTGAACCTTCTAAAAATGAAGTTACATCTATCTCTGAGGAGTGAAGAATATGTATTAAGGTTATAACAACCAACAAGAATGCACTTCTGTGTAGAAATCCATGATTAAATCGAGTCTTCCTGACTGGTGATTTAAATCATGATTTAAATCAAATCCACCCTGAGTGTGATGGTTTTGATGATGTTTCTGTACCAGCAAAAGCCTTAGTGTAGACACAGTTACACCAGCAAAAAACTGTGATTTTGCCGGTGTAGCTTATTTCACTCACCGAACCAGTCTAAGCGATATTAGCAAGTATAAGCTGCGCCTGCCCTGGGAGAGTTTGCTGGTGTAGCCGTACCGGCAAAACTTTTCTGGTGTAACTCTGGCCTTTGTAACGAGAGCTTTGCCTTAGGTAGGCATGCAGGGTTGCGTAGTGGTTTTTTTTTGACATGCTAGGTGTTGAAGGATGATTAAATAAATGTAGTTACTGGGACTGCTAAAGAGTATTTTTACTTTGAAAACCTATAGTTAGAAGTGGGAGACCAGATCCCCAGCTGATGTGAGTCATGGCTCCATTGACTTCAGAAGAGTGACACTGAAGGGATAGCTCAGTGGTTTGAGCATTGGCCTGATAAACCCAAGGTTGTGCGTTCAATCCTTGAGGGGGCCATTTAGGGATCTGGGGCAAAAATTGGGGATTGGTCCTGCTTTGAGCAGGGGGTTGGACTAGATGATCTCCTGAGGTCCCTTCCAACCCTGATATTCTATGATTCTATGACTGACTGACAGTAGCTGAGGAGCCAGCCCAAAATAACCAACTGGGTAAAAATGGCTTCCAGTTTTTTTGTGGGAGGGGGATTTGCTGTGACATATATACTATGGCAGTTATCCATATCTTCCTTTAGAGGCTCACTAACCTGTAACCCCTCTTTCTCTCGCCCTCTGTCTCCAGGATTTAATGCCATGGCTGCAGATGAAAGTGCTACAGAAAAGCAAGTAGGGGAACCAAAAATGACAGCAGATGGTGAAACCAATGGCTCCTGTGAGCGCAGCGAAGCTGGTAGCCACCCAAACCCAACTAAAAACACTCAGGACAATACAAAAGTGAGCCAGCAGGACTCCAGTACTAAATTAAATAGGATAGCGGAGAATGGCATTTCGGAGAGAGACAGTGAGACTGGGAAGCAGAACCACATGAAAGCTAATGACTTCACGCAGACTTCTGTAACGGGGAGCAATGGATATATTTTAACTAAGCAGATGGTGCAGGAGCAACCCCTAAGGACTACAGGCACCTTTGCTTCTCTCACTGGCCATGCTGCGAAAACCCTCCCAGGCGGAGCAAGCAAAGGGAGAACTCTGAGCGCCTTTTCTCAGATGCAAGCCACCATGCCAGCCAAGCTCGGGGAGGGGAGTAAGGACATGGATGCTAAAAAAGCCACGGCCACGAACGCTGAAGTCAAGGTCCACAGAGCACGGAAGACAATGCCTAAACCCACACCTAGCCTGGTAACGTATATGCACTGCAGTGAGTTGCTCTGTTGCTAAATGGTCTTGGGGGTTTTTGTTTTTTTGTTGGTTTTTTTTGGTGTGCGGTATGGTAGCCCTGATCTGAGTCAACAGGTATAATTTGGAAGTGTCCAGCTAGATCTCTGGTCTCTTTCTCCTACAAAGAGGCAGGGGTGATAATATGGTTTATAACTTGCTGCTGCTATTAGCTTCACACCTCCCGCTCCCAGTTTGTGTTTCTAAATGTGCAACAGATCGTTTACCTCCCCAGCATATTTGTTGTGTTATCTCCGTAATTGCCTTTCAGCCTCAGCTGTGTTGCACCTTCAGCCCTTTCACTAAATCCACAGGGTCGCTTTGGAAACAGATTCCGTATAAGGCCAACTCAAAGGAACATCAGGCACAACCCTGATGGAAAACTCTCTGGGAACTTCCCGCTGTCGATGTCTGGGTTTTATTCTGTCACACATCACTGAGTATCCTAGTACCTCTCCAGATCAGTATCCCTTTTTATACAGTTCTTATTTGGTAATTAAACTTATTCATTCATAAAATGTGCCCTTCTGAATGACTCAAAAAGGGTACATGCCCATCACTTAATAAAGCACACAGTTCTGCCTTCTCTCAGAGGCACCATGGATTTGGGGCATGGGGAGCACCCGCTTCCAAACAATCCTTTCCTTTCCCCTTTGTGCAGATGCTTGAGAACTGAGGTGAGCTTTGCTTTGTGCACTAAACATTAGCAAACTTTGGCTCTGTCAGCTCAGCTGCGTGGGGAATGGTTTCCAGAACCAAGGGCTTTCCACTGAGAATGCTCTGCCACCAGCTCTTCGCCACTTCATGTCTAGGATCTCATAGCTAAACCATCCCAGCTGTCCTCCAGTACTGTAGCTCCTCATGGAGAGAGAGGCAGACTCTTCGATAGCAAGCGCCCGAGTTAGAGAGGGCTTTATAAGCCAGGCTTACCACTTTGAATTGTACCCAGAAGCAAATAGGAAGCCAGTGCAGTTGTTGAAGGACTGGAGTAATGTGTTCCCTTTAGCTACCAACATCTTATGCCCCAGATGCAGCTTCCAAATAATCCTCAAGCAGAGCCACAAACACTGTAACAGGGCAGCAATCCAATCTAGAGGTCACAAAGTTGTGGATCCCTGTGGCCAGGTCTGGATCAGAAAGAAAAGGTCCCAGGCACCTAGCCAGAGGTAGATGGGAAAAGGTCCTGTTAGTTGCCAACACCACCTGTGGCTCTGGAAGCAAGAGCACTTCAAGATAGTGCACTCTTGGACGCACAACCTCACTAGGCGGGCAGAAACCACCCCTGCCATACGTTACCCTAATTGCCTTCTGTCTTCTCTTGAGTGCACTTCAGTGAGCTCCCTCCCGCTCCTGTTCCCATTTCGGCTAGTGCCTGGGGAATCCCAGCTGCTGCACATCCAGGTCTGATGAAAGCACAACTCTGAACTGCGTCTTATCCAAATAAGGCACTACAGCCAACACTGCTTTGCACTCTCCCAGGGTGGCCTCTCGTACACTTGGATTAAGCAGGTCAACAACACAAACCCTTGTGGAACCTCACATGGAGAGAGTGATCCCTTGGGTCTGAGGAACCAGGAGGAGGCAATTTTTCTGTAAGAGATAAACATCAGGTGAGGTGAGATTGCCTCACTGCTCTTGCCTCACTTTTATTTTACTGTAAATCAGAATAATTTGTACCTGAACCCACAAGACGGCGGGTTTGTTTGAGAAAGCTGGGTGTTTTAACATTTGTAAGCAATTGCTTGGCTGAATTTATGTGCACAGTTACTATGATTGCTTGTGCAAATGGCTATTTATGGCCATTTGCAGTCGTAGTAACTGCACAAAAGTTAGTGCACACAGGTTTTTTAAAATCACATCCTCAGGAACTCTCCCCATTTAGTTTTGGTCGAGAGGGAAGCAAAATACACAATAATACCAAGTCAACGGGTGTTGAATAATTGTCTGTACATGCGTAAGCCGTTGCATCTGAGTTTGAGCACAGGGTTTTCAGTTTTTATCTGATCTAGTTTCTGTAGACCATGAAACATCTGCTCAGTTCAGCATGCAGGGTAGTTATTGACTTTTCCCCCCAATGGCTTTTGGCTACATCCAGTTCTCTTTCGAGTAGTACAAAGTCCTGACTAGTTCCCATTTTTCAGTTTCCTGGTTCTCTCTCTCTCTCTGTCTGTCTATATGACCTGCATCACCATAGTAGCTCAGCCCTGGTCTACACTGGGGGATGGGGGTCGGCCTAAGATACGCAACTTCAGCTACGCAAATAGTGTAGCTGAAGTCGGCTTATCTTAGGTCGACTTACATGGCCGTGACGATGGCGGTGAGTCAACCGCTGCTGCTCCCCCATCGACTCCGCTTCCGCCTCTCGCGAACTGGAGTTCTGGAGTCGACAGGGAGCACGTTCAGGGATCGATCTCTACCCGCTGATCTGGTGGGCAGTGAAGACCTGCCCTCAGTGTCTTTTAAAGTATCAGACTCCACCATCACACCTGCCTTTCCCACTTGATAAGTAAAGCACCTAAGTTGCAGGTGGCACAGCCTTAGCAATAAGTCTTTACCTTTTGGAGATCATGCAGCAGATGAGGGGATAGAAGACTGCACTTCCATGTTTTCATGTTTAGAGTGTTGTTTTATTCCTGCTAGATCCTTGTGTTGCGTGACCCAAGGATAGGAGAAAATTAGGATTTCTTAGTCCTCAAACTGTAGAATCTTTTTCCCTAGCCTTTGCAAAAATCTGTTGGGAAGAGAGAGTTGCTTCTTGGACTTCAGTCCCCCTCAAGCAAACTTGGCATCCCCTTTCTGTGTGAATTGGGAGGTTGTTGGTAGAAACAAAACAGGTGGAGATTGGGTGTTTCTCTACCAGGGAGTCACTTTCAGAACCAAAAAAGCAGCTAGGGACCAAAAAACAGCTGTAGATTTCATTGCTATAGTTATGGTGATTTTGTTTTAAAATACTGATATTTGTAAAGACTCAGACCAGCCACTGTGTTGCACCCACGTCCTTGCATCTTTTACCCCACGTGAGAGGGTTTTTTTTCTGCTTAGTCTGCCTACATCTTCATCAGGCACATGAAAGACTTTGGAAGAGGAGGAAATGGGCCAAAAGGAAGCTGGTTGTATGTTTTAGGCTCAAATGCTTTCAGAATGCTTCCGCTGATCATATATTTTCTGCGTAAAGAACCCCATACTCTGCCCCACTGGCATGAAAATTTAAACCCCTTATCAAACTTAACTTCATTTTCACAACTCTAGAAGAGCCTAAGAACTTGGATAGTAAAACCCTCCTCGTATTTTATCTATTGAAATACAAAAAGCAGTGTTGTCTTGTGGTTAGATCAGGGATGGAGTTGGGAGACCTAGGTTCTGTTCCTAACACTGAGGTCGGGTCTAAACTAAAAATTAAGTTGACCCAGGTAATTACCTCAGGTGTGAAAAATCCACATCTGTGAGTGATGTACTTAAGCCAACCTATCTCCAAGTGTAGACAGTACAAGGTCGATGGAAGAGTTAGTACATGACCTCAGGCAAATCACTTTTCTTCCCCGTGCCTCAGTTTCCCTTTCCATAAAACGGGGATAATGGTGGTGCAAATCCCTTGAAGGGCCCCGGGCAAAAGATGCTGTCATTACAAAGTGTTGTTTGTTATATCAGTGGTAAGTAATATTACAGCCTGGTACCAAACCCCTTCCATGCTCTCCTATAAAGTCCACATGTTCAGAGAGTCCTAGGGAGTTCTCGCACTTGACTAACTAAGAATAGACAATTACAAATCGCCAGCCAGTGAGCATCTAGGATGCATTCATATTTTTGAATGCTCTAGTTTTGCAGAGAATAGAACTGTCAGAACATGGGGGAATCCTGATTTGAAGTGATTGTCTTTCAAGAGGAACATCTCATGAGAGCAGAAAGGATAGTGTTTCCTGAAGGAAAATGAACTGTACATAACCAAAAAATGTAGATTAAGCCAAACAGCTGTGAAGAAAAGAATGAGATCTAATTATAAATGCTCCTAAGGATTTGTCTAAAGACTGAATTGCACTGGTTTAACGTAAATTAAGGGCTTGTCTACACTTGAAAATTAATGCGAATTAAGGTAGAGTGTGAATTTAAAGTGCAATAGCTGTTCTTGAATAACTCCATTTCTGGGCACTCTTATTCTGGAACAAGAATGTCCACACTTGGAGTTATTCCGAATAGCTATTATACTTTAAATTCACACCCTAAATGAATTCCTATTACCTTTCAAGTGTAGACAACCCGAAGTTAACAGTGCTATGTAGACAAGCTCTAAATCAGTTTTTAAACTGACGTTAAAATGGAGCAATTTTGTGTGTGGATGCTATTTTACTGATTTAAACATGACTTGTATCTCTTTAACTTGTATGGCAAGCTAAACCAATATAAGCCAAGTTTAAACTGATATAAGGGTGTCCACACACATGGTTCAGCTTTAATGAAATCAGTCTAAAATCACGTCTTTGGGCTATGTCTACACTCCAGACCTTACAGCGGAACAGCTGTACCGATGCAGCTGTGCTGCAGTAAGATCTCCCATGTAGCTGCTCTGTGCCAGTGGGAGAGAGGTCTCCCACCAACATGGCTCTGTACACACTACAACTTATGCCAGCGAAACTTGTCACTCAGGGAGGTGTGTTTTCGCATCTCTGAGCGACATAAGTTTTGCTGACGTAAGTGGTAGTGTAGACGTAGCCTTAGTTTGGTAGGTGCAACTTTACATGTAGACCCGGTCTAAGAGTGCCATTAGGAGTCTAAGTACTGTGGCTTGTTTGCTATGGATAGTTAGCTTTGCAGTGTCCTCATCTGTACGGTTCCAGGTTAACGTTCATATGCTGGGCCACCACCAAACCCTCTACGCATGTTTGAATTTCGATAAAGAAAATGGTAATTCTCTGCTAACCCTAATGTAAATGCGTAGCTTCAGTGTTACGGTCCTTCAGCGTTGGTGA